AAACAACTATCAAAACTTGATGTGGATGATAGTCTATCCTACACACTTCAATAAATGCCGGACAAATATGTTGGGCTATAATTTAGTATAAAGCTGCAACAACTAGTATACTAGTATACTATATAATCAATACATCTTTTATGTTGTTTTTCCCAGCAAAAAAATCCAATTATTCTCTGGTTGCAACTTCTTAAATATAAATGTTTAACTGGTTTTCCTTTATATTTAATAACAGTAAACTGAATATATTTGGGGGGGGGGTTGCTGTTAGACAAAATGAGACATTTGAAGAAGTCACCTGAAGCTCTTGTAATCAATATTTTGACTGTTTTCTGATGTTTAATAGAAAAGAATAGGCAGATCAATACTGAAAATAACCGTTGCAGCCCCGATTTAGCATAATTTGAAAATTACATTTCTTTTTTACTGGCAGCAAAACATTACTATCATATATTTTATTGAATCAATGTCTTGTGATTATAATGATAAAACCTGCACATACACAGCATACTGAAGACTATGTGGGGACTGACCTCTTTCTGCTCCAGCAGCGGCAGGGCGTCAGTCAGCAGGGTCATCCAGAAGCTGCGGGGGGCGATCTTTGCCGTCATGAGGGAGAGGAGCAGCTTAGCCGCATCTCTGAAGCGCTTCTCTCCGTACAGCTTGTGGAACTCACGGTATTTCCCTGCAAATGACGAGAGAGCAACGTTTTCAGACTGCAACACTGGCCCATGTTAATACTTACTGATTACTACCAAGAAAGAGGTTACCTTTCGTCTGCATTAATTGTTTACACTCTTATTTACATCTAATCTGTTTATTAGAGAAACTGTTCTTTGTCTTTGCTCCTCCTGCAGGTGGGATTGTAGATACACTCATTCGCATCAGTGCACCGGCATAATGAACTCAGGATGAACTTGAGATGCGTCATTTAACGTATATATATATATATAATTATTAGTAGAGGCTTTATGTCTTTATTATTTAGAAATGTGACTAATCATTTGTGGCTAAACTGTTTCTCAAGTTGCTTAAGAACAACCAAATAAAATAAAATCTAATTTGTCATATGTATCTTTTATCAGCTTGTTGGCAATGCCTTGAGATGAGTATCACATTGACCTCAGTGATGGGGATGCACATCCCTATCAGACATCACTGATATCCATCCCTCAATTGTTTCAGCAGAGGCATCTGGCAAACCGTTTGATTCATGAACTCTGAAGAAACGTATTAATATTACAGAGATCTAGCTACAAACTAACATGGACTGATATTCCTCCAGTAAAACATGCTGTCACATGCTGTTGCATTAAGTAGTTCATGGTTTTATTTATATCTGTGTGCACACGTCTCTGTGTCTGAGGCTCATGTGACGGCCTAAGAGAGACTATAAGGGAAGCTGTCCAGGAGACAATCTGCCCTGACTGAATGTTCCATCACTTAACAAGGGAATTTAACTTGTGAGAGAGGCTAAGTCACAAGTTGAGCAGTGCTACAGTGTGTGTGTGTGTGTGTGTGTTCCTTGTTCATACCAAGGAAAGTAAGTCTGTCGCTGAGCAGCATTGCTGGACCCAAGTTGTCTATCAGGTCCAAATCAGAGAAGGTCCCTCTGGCGCAGTAATCCTGTAAGAACCTGACACACACACAAACACAAACACAAACACACACACACACACACTTTTAAAATCATTTAAGATGCAACCTCACAACAAAGTGCTTTCTCAGGGAGACCAGCATGCTGTATTTTATCTGAGCCCAAATAATCTACAATGCTTGAATTTAAAAAGGCCTCCCCAGAACACAAGAGATCAGCCGAACAATAGCCAGATCCAAGCTTTGTCTTTGAGTCTGATCAACTCAAGAGATATCATCAAGATTCATGGTGGAAACAGTGTTGAGGAGGCCTTGTTTTAAGTGCTGAGGTTCTTTGAAGATAATTCAACTAAAAGGTTGTAGCACAGCCACAGACAACCTCTTCAATAAATGTGTTGTTAAGGGAACAAACCTCTCTGAAATGAGGGTGGCAAAGGCAGCGTCTTTGGCCCTGATGCTCCAGGACAGAGCAGAGCCCAGTCTGTTGTTCCTCAGGGCCCGCATAGCCATGATCTTACAGATGCTCCGCACTGGATGAGGACAAGAGGATGACATTAACGTTTGTGTAAGACAGCTGGATAAAGAGAATGAGAGAAGGACTGAGAAAGACGGCGCTACCTTGCTCGGACATTTGCCTCTGCTCACAGATCCTGAGCACCTTGAGTGCTTTGCGCTCCGTGTCTAAAGGAACGCGCTCAATCTGCAGCTCCAGGTAGACACGGCCAAACTCTGGGCAGTGGTCAAAGTAGTCCACGGCCAACTGCCACAGACTTTACACAAACACACAAAAACATCCTATAAGGTGAAGCATTTATAGATGTGTTGTTTCACCACACCTTGACTAATAGAGTAAATTATAGGGCCAATTAGTAATTATAAAAACACTGTATCATCATAATAATCAACAAATATACATATTATATATAATTAGATACAGTAATTAACATTAACTGAAACTTCATACCTGTGATGAGTGAAGAGACCAGACGCATATTCTAAAAGGAGAAACTCTCTCAGGTTGGAGCCAAAGCTGAACAAGAATGACATGGCAAATGTTAGATGAATAAAGTGTGCAATCTCCATACTTGTTATCTCCAGATTAAATGTGTATGCAAGTACAAAACGCAGACAGACGGTCCTTACTGTAGATTATGAGACTGGAGGAGTTTGCAGTGATCCAACAGGTCCGTCAAATGGGCCACAAACCACCAGTTGTTAAGAGCAATGCTGAAGAGACACATGGTGGAGAAATGAGGAAACAGGGTGTTGAGAGAGTTATAGTTTATAGACGTTAGGCATAAACACGTAGGATAAACCAAATAATAAAACTGACAAAATAATTTAAAAAAAGACTGAAATGTACAAATAGACCAGATCAAAAAGCACTAAAAGGGATATAATAATATAAAAAAATTATATTAATAGTAATATTAAAACATAGATAGACAAATTTAAAGAATCAATTAAATGTCAGACTAGAAAGGTAAGTCTACAGTTTGCTTTTAAAAATATCAACACACTCTGCTCCTTATCAACTCCATTTATCAATCAAGGCACGTTTCTCTTCTTTTACATATTTTCTTGGGGCTTTTTGTCTTTGTTTCATGTAAGAGCTCGAGATAGACAGGAAAGAGGGAGCGAGAGAGAGACGGGGCGACACAGCAACGGGGCAGAGGTCAGACTGGAACCGACAGCCGCTGCAGTAAGGACTCAGCCCTGCTACATGGGGGCTTGTATGTACTGTATAAATGTACGTAGAGATGGAAGTAATCCTGCGAGTTACCTGCAGTCCTTGATGACCTGATGAATGTCAAACTCAAAGGCAGCCAGTAAGATGCTGTCTAGAGGTTCTGGGACGCTCCTCGAGTCCAGAAACATGGTCAGGCATGACTGCAGCACACACACACACACACAGACACACAGTAAATAACAAGAACGTAGTAGCAGTGAGTGTGAGTGCTGAGTGGAACAGCAGTGGTTAGTGGAGTGTACCTGTGCATAGTAGTGTAACTCTGTGGGTTTGACTGTGGGGTGGCAGAAGAGCAGTCTAGTGACCAGGAAGTGGTACCAGGTGCTCAGCAGGTCTTTATGCTCCAGCAAAGTGTCTTCATCCCCAACTAGGATCTAAAATGAAGTGGAAAAAACAGGTGGGAAAAGGTTAAGGGTTGATAGTTAAGATTTAAAAACTCACGCAGTGGAATAAATGCACAAGAATCCGGATGTATAGGAGCACAGATACACGCTAAACTTGCATAACATAACAGTACATTCCAGTGTCTTAAACAGGACATCCTGTCGTATATACAGTATACTACAATTTTACATATTGAGGTAAGAGGTAGATGGACAACAGCTGAGGCTACTGAGGGCAAAAGGTCACTGACCTTGCAGATGAGCTCGAGGTGTTTGTTGCTGGCAAACGAGTTGTCCTGCAGGCAGCGGTCCACCTCCTCATGCCAGTGTCTCCACTTCACATCAAACTCCGTCAGCGTCTGGGTGCCACCAGGCTGAAGGATTATCATTGAAATATCAAAGTTAAAAGCCTCCACTGGTTGGTTTATGAGAGTGTGATTTATGCAAAAGTCACCCCTGTGTTGTTTGAACATAAATGGCACATTTGTATGATATCTGTGAAGGGAAGGAGGAGCGGTGTGTCTCTTTGACTCCAGAACGAGTAAAATACAGAAGATTAAATGCAGTTTTTGTCAGTAGGGGCACATTGAATGTGTGATATACTTTCTGAATTCATTTGGACCAAAGAGGGCCTAGGACTCCTCAATTACACACAATATGATTGTGGATATCTTCATAGAAACTGAAGGCTTATTAATTTATTTCACCAATTATGCCTATTAAATATAAGAGTTATAAATAAATAAATAAATAAATAAAACAATCTGATGGATGCCAAAAAGGCAGCTTAACAAAGCCAAAGCAGAAACACATTTTTACTTAAAAAATGAAGACAGATGAGATCAAACCATGTGTGAACTAATTCTGGCCATTAAGAATATAAAATAACGTGCAGATTTCTTCCTGCCAAGGTCAACTAAAGCTCCACAATGAGTTAACCACTGAAAGATGCTCTTACATTGTAGAAGGGCATCTTGCTGAGCAGAGTGTCCATCAGCTTGTACATTTTCCTGGCAGCAGGCTGCAGGGTGGCCTGCTTCACCAGCATCTGCCTGGCTTCCTCCAACCTGCCCTGCAGCACGTAACTCACCACCTGCACAGCAGACACAGAACATGTGATGACTGAGATATGTCAGACAAAACACTTATTAAGAGTGAAAAGCTCAGAATCAGTCTGTATAGTGGTTTTATATAAAAAAAAAAAAAACTAAAACAAAAACACTAAAAGTTGTATGCACAAGAGCAAGGACATAAATATTAGATGTGTTTTATGTGCGCTGCACCTACCACATCCCAGTAGTCGCGGTGCTCAGCGGGGCTCTCACTTTGCAGCACTTCTCTGGCCTTCTCATCAACATCAGCCTTGTGTAACCTTACCCAGTCCAGGAGGTGGAGCAACAGGGACCCCGCTGAGGACACAGACACACAGGCTGCTCACCTCACTGCTCTCATAGTCAAGTTATTAAATATATTCCAAAGCCAAAGCGGGAGATAAACTACAAAGCCAAACTCTTACCAGGAGCAGCATCAATGAACAACACTTCACACAGATTCCAGATCAGTTCTATGGCCAACAGAATGGACACCTGTCACGTAAAAACAGAGGCTGAAGTTAGTGGAAACAAAATAATCAGTCATAAATACATATGTATTCCTCTGCATAAGCACATTGCATTGATTGTCTGTAGCAAGTGAGTGTGTTGCACTTTCGAAACAAAATGTGATTTGTCATAAATTATACACACTGCTGTATTACCAACACCATTAAACTAAAAGATAATACAGTTTAATAATGAATTATTTGCTAGCTCTAAATCAGAAAGAAACAAATAGATGGCATCCTGTATGTGCAATAGTTGACATAAGGATGCAATGTTGTAGCACAGATACACACAGTAGTAGTACATACCTGGTTTCCATATTGCATTGCCACTTCTGCAACTTTTGTAGAAACTGCAGAAAAGTAAAAAAAAAGGTTCATTTTAAATGAATCATTCCCTAGTAATGACACTGAAGGATAAAATATCGAAATTATACCTTGCTTAACTCTTACCTGCGACTTGCTGAAGCTCCTCCATGCAGGCTCGTATCACAGATCTGTAGTTTTTACTGATACTGACAAATCTAAGAGGAAAAACAGAGACAAATCATAATGCAGCAAATGTTTATGACCTTGAGAAGCAACACAGTGACACGCACAGGATGTCCATCAGGTGGCCTTACTGGGGTTTTTTGTTCTTGCTGGGGAGATCCTCTCTAATTGTCTGCAGGCCCACAAAGATGTGATGTGACTCATTGAAGAGTTTGCGTAAAATGGGGGAATATATGTCCTCGTCTTTCCTGACCTCATGGATGAAGCCTGATCCTGTACCTGGAAATTCAGGACGGGAGGTGATAAAAGAGTGACAGTGGGCAAGAGAGAGAGGACAAGAGAGTGTGAATCCTTGTTATCTACACTCACCTGAAGCTTTGTAAAGGGTCTCATACACAAGGATGTCACCGGGTCCCCAGGCAAATCCCAAATGCGTCCCATGACTGGCTGCAGGGATGTTCTGCATTAAAAGAAGAAGAGGAGCCACTGACATCACCCAGTAAAACACTGCTGCACCGTTTTAACTTAAACATCGACTCAAACTGTGTTTTCTGTCTGGCCAAATGTACAACTTCGTAATAACTTAATTAGCACTTAAACTCTGCACACGACTGATTCAGAGCACCAATGTAATGAGCCGATGATAAGTTAGGATACTTTCTCACTAGTTTTCCAGCAACGTGTCGATGATGTTCTCACTCCTTCGACACGTTGTACATGTATCTCTGTTTATAACCTTTTTAACAGCAGTGTTCACACCACAGCTCAAACAGATCTCACATTCAACCCGGTGAACGCTGCTGCAGTAGCACGCCTGTCAGCAGAACCGAGAGGAAACGGACCCCAGCGGGAACTTACGGTGACTGTCGGCTCCACGTCGACCTCCTCCATCAGGACGCAACTGCACCGACACAATAAAGTATAAAACCGATCACTATTACAGCCCTAAACACTTGAACACATGAACTACAGGTGCGGTGCTGATTACGCGCCTCCGTCATTCACTCGAAAGCCCCGGCGGGCGCATGGGCGATGCCGTCACGGCGGGGCTGCCCGTCCTCCCGCCTGATGTGTTTGATTCATTGTATCGATAATTAAAGAATACACAATTAATAAGTGCATCGACACAGATCAATTAATAACTCTACACCTCTAGGGAACCGTGTACACTTACACAGATACACAGTAATTACATAAATACGGGAATAGTTTGTATTTTTATGTTTCCCATGTACAAACAAACTTTACAGATGTTTTAGCTGGAATCTGTTAAGAATCAGTGTTTTTGATTTCACTCATGCAAATACACCCTTTTTTTTTTTTTTTTAATCAAACGTAAAAGTTTTCATCCAACATAGTTTTTTTATTCCTTCTTCACCACCGGGCAGCAAAACAAGATGGCCGCTGAGATTTATAGGGTTAAAAAAAACAAAAAAAGGAAAACAAAAAGTGCAAACTGCTGCACCGCCATCACGTGTAAAGTACAGACTGATGCTGATAACTGCCCCCCGGGGCCCTGGTGGGGGGGCCGCCGGGTGGAGAGGGGCACATTGAGGGGCAACTTTATCTCCACCGACCGACAACAAAAGGGAAAACATCGCTGTGCGCGTTCACGTGTGTTTCTGGATGTCTCTGTAACGCGCACTGGGACTCTCCCGCCCATGTCCAGACCGCGCTTTGCCCCCTCGTGACCACCCGCAGCCACTCAAAGCTCGCTGCTGTGGACGCGCACCGACTCGTGACCGCGCACGTCGGGTTCGAATAATTTAACCGGGAGCGAGCACGTGCGCGCACTCGTATTCTTTGTGTGGCAGCGTAGAGAAGCGCCAAAAAGAGTGACTGACCATGGCTGATGAAAAACCAAAGGTGAGCGTCTCCACATTGTATCAGTGAACGCGTTTATTTCAGCAGGTCTGCGGCACGCGGGGTCATAGAAACAAACTGACGCTGTCACGTGTTCAGTTTACCCTCTTAAAGTTAGGAGCCAAAATTTCAACTACAAGCTTTACCCTACTTTGATAGCCGGAAGGTTTGTGAACGCGCATCCACAGACGCGCACATCGCTTTCTGCTCTGCTTGATCGCACACTGCCAACCAGCTGGTGTCATCCTCAGTGCATGCCTCAGTTTACCAACCTGAGAGTGTGTGTGTGTGTGTGTGAGAGAGAAAGAAAGTTTGTGCACTCAGCAGTGGTGTACTAGTATGAATTGGTATATGTCACTGAAACTACAGTGTTTTCTTTTTCTCCTGGTATATCTGAGCTTCTATCAGGCTGTGGTCAGCTTTGAAGACACTGAACCAGAATGTAAACAAAGGGAACATGTGCCCCTGGAAAGATTTTCAAGTTTATTAAAATATCTCTAAATTTATATATAAATATACTTAAACCACTTGGCACTGCCTGGTTTAGCCTAACTCACTTAAATAATTCATCAAATTTAGGGAAATATGTTAAAATATGTCAATTCAATATTATTTTGTCAGCAACGCCTTTATAAGTCAGCCAGAGGTACTAAAGGGATATCTGCCTGGCTCTAAATTATAGCAAAACTGGTTTTCAAATCTCTATTTTCTCCATTCACTATCATACTGCCCTACTTATTTATGTTTGAGGTGAAGTTCATTCACTCTGAGGTGAAACAGCTGTCACCTGTTGACGGCTCCGCAGTGGTGGCGTTCTTAATTAATCATCAGTCCTTTAGTGTGGTTAGTCAACAACAGTTAAAACACATTAAATGAAAAAGTACTGAGATTATAATAACGGAGAGAAATGTGCAGTTAGAAAAATGAATGGTCTTTGATTAAATATTCAGTGATTTTCAAATTAAAGCTTGCCAGCGATTTTCTTGTTGACAGACTAATTGAAGAACCGGCTAATTATTCCAGTTCCCTACATGCCCCTGTCAACTGTTTATTCCTCTCTGACTTTATCCCGCAGGAAGGAGTCAAGACGGAAAACAACGAACACATAAACCTGAAGGTGGCGGGTCAGGATGGATCTGTAGTGCAGTTCAAGATCAAAAGACACACGCCGCTCATCAAACTCATGAAAGCCTACTGCGAGAGACAGGTGGGCACAGCACCGTATCGGCACACAACAACCATCACTAATTGGTTGTGAACACTCAGGATGATGTTACAGGTTTCCCGAACCAGTGGTTTCCACACTGGGGGGGGGGGGCTGAGCTGTAGGCGGCTGTATAACAGTAACTTAAAGTGTACAGACCTTTTCACAGCAAGACAAATCTTTTGTTCATTTCATTGCAGCCACATTTCAATTCTCAGCACATTCAGCCTGTAACATACAAACGTGTGTTGAGGCCATAGAGTGTCCTCTTGTGTATACTGCCACTTGGTTTATTTATCTGTAATGAAGTTAATTATCCAGAAGGTTAGCTTTGATATTCACCTTTGCCTGTGTGCTTGTCGTGATGTTTAGTTCAGTTTTTGGCCCTATATGTTAATAATAAAAAAGTAAACATGTTATAGGAGAATTACTATTATTTAGCTGTTACAGATCTCAAATGGAACAAGCAATGTAGTATTTTAGTTAGAAACCTGGCCTTTAAAAGGTGCAAGTGGTGTAGCATTAAAGGACGGAATTTATTGTAGAAAAGGAATATAATATCCACCGTTTTCCTTAGTGTATAATCACCGTGGAAATAGAATCATTCGGTTTCATTTAGGAATGAGTCATTTTTTGAGCCGGCATGTTTCTACAGTAGCCCAGAACAGACAAACCAAACACTGGCTGTAGATAGGGACTTTCAAGGGGTTTCATTTGGTTGCAATCTGCAATCTCACTGCTAGATGCCACTAAAGCCTAACACACTGGTCCTTTAATGGGGCTGTAGTTTTGAGACTTCGTTGTCTGTGCTGTTTAAGGTACGAACTACACCCTCTAAAAAGTTGTTACACCTCCACCATTACGCACTGCATGTAATACACCCACTCAGTTATTACATTTTAGGAACAACTTGTCGGGTATATAATACCTACAAATTGTAGATTTTCAACTATCAAAACTTTGTTGCAGTTCCTTAACTGTTGTTTTTCACTGCATGCAGTGCACAACATTTGACTTGTCAAAGAAGTTCAGCTGTAACTAATAACATTAACAATGGCTCTCTTGCATTAAAGCCTTCCAGTAAGGCCAGTGAGTAGGCATGCACAATACTGGGACCCTGGAACTGACACACCCGACTATAATGCAGCCATTATTAACGATATTAATTACACCTGAGCTGTCCTGCTATGACATGTCAAAATCTGCCATTAAAAAGACCTATCAGAGTAGAATATGTTTGTTGGCTGTTCACTAGTAACTGTGTAGACAGTGTGGAGCAAGGCTTACAAGAGCTATGTTGCTAAGTTAGGCTACATTTGCATCATATGGAAATAATTATTAGAATTGCTTTATGCTCTGAAGCAACAGCTTTTATGTATGCACATGTTTAATCTTTTTGAAGACAAAAAAGGCCGTGATGAGTGTAATTATTTTCAGCCCTTTCACACTTCACGCATGCACTTGGTAATTTGAACTTTTGTGGTACAGCGTTCAGAATGTGATGTTAACCTCAAGCAAACAAGTTTATGTTTGTGCATAAAGTCCCACTTACTATAAATGATGTGGTCAGAAAGTTTAACTGGGGGTTTTATTTGACATGAAGACTTTGGTTGACTGCAGATATTTACTTATTGGTAAGGTCACAAGTTCAATATGTTGGACAACTCAAGGTCGTATCCAACAGACACATCATATATAAGCCATCTGAAGACACAGCAGGATGCTCAAAGGTCAAACGTAAAATAAAACCCAGATGATGCTCATTAAAGAGTTATTCATCATGATCATGTTTTCAGTCATTTTTTTTCCTGAAAGAGTTATTGTTCATAGTTTATTGGCTATGATCCAACTCTGCTGTACGGCTCTTCTCTTCATGCACAAATGCAGTTAGAGCAACAGAGTCGATGCAAATCTTCCCTGAATAGCTGTAGACCGCTTAAGGCTTTACCTCGCTCTCATCCCTCTGTAAATCAAACCTCCTTATCTACTTGTCCGTCTGTAGTTCCACATGATATCTCATCTTTACCATCAGCGGTTATGAGCTAAATTACTTCTGAAGTTGTCATTTAGCTACTTGCTGTGGCGTAGGGATGCAGGATTGCGGACTAATTCTAGTGAGTGAACATTGGGATTAGTGCCAGTTCAGTTCTTACGATTGTACAAAAACAGTCCATTCTGATGTATTTGTACCTAAAGAAGAGAATGTCCAATGAAACACAACCTGCTCTGACATTCCTGAAAGTTAAACGAGTGTTCAACTCTCTGAAGAATGAAAACCACCAGTACGCCAGTATTGTCTATTCCTCGGACCGCCAGCAGGGCAAAACAGACATGTTTGTCATGCAGCTCATTTTTAAAACTGCAGTTGGAACCAGATGTTTTTCATTATTCCTGTTTTACTGCAAAAGACGGTGTAACGTCATTATTTTTCTGTGACTCTCAAACTCCAGCAGGCATACAAATGGGCAATACTTCATTTAAATCATAAAAATATATATTTGTATTATTTTCTTTGCTCTTAGAATTAAACTTTCCATGAAACTCTGTTTGTGCTGTATGTGACAGCAAGTAACCATAAAGTACACAACAAATCCCTTAAACATTTGTTTTTTCATGGGTTTTTTGTGTGGCTTGAATCATTAATTTAAATGTCATTTTAATGGGTGCCCAGTTAGCTCAGTGGGTAGAGCTGGCGACCCAGGTACCAAGGCTGAGTCCTTGCTGCAGCGGCCCAGGGTTTGATTCCGACCTGCGGCCCTTTGCTGCGTGTCATTCCCTCTCTCTCTGCCCCCCTTTCCTGTTTCTCTCCAGCTGTCACTATCATAAAAGCCCTAAAAAAATAAAAATATAATTTTAATAAATCTTTACAGATCAACCCACTTTTTCTTTATATTGCCCATAATACTACAGTTATTTATTGTTTTGGTATGTGTTTACGCTTTTTTTCTGACTGTAACTCACTTTGTAACTTTGTTTTGAAATATTCTGATGTATTGTTAGTAGTAGGTGTAGTACTAATGGGGGTTTTTTTAGGTTTGATTGACAGTAAAGGTTTGATGTCTTTGTCTCTCCAGGGACTTGCAATGAGGCAAATCAGGTTCAGATTTGATGGACAGCCAATAAATGAGACAGACACACCAGCACAGGTAAGTGTGAACACTTGAAACAACAAGTTTAGCGACTTAAAACAGTGAATAGTGTGCTTAAAGAAGAAGAAGAAAAAAACATTCATGGGGCACACTGTGCCAGGGGTTTATAGCGGGCTGAAACATGCTTCATGAGCTTCCACATGCGTCATCACTTGTGCTGATGCATTTGTGGCATCCTTATCAGGTAAGGAATGCATATTTCAGGCATTCTTTTCTATGCCCGTTCCTGGGGAAGCTCGTATTAGTAAATGTTGGTATTGCCTTTTCCCCTCTACAGTGTTAAATACATGTGGGACATACATGGACTCACACATGTAAATGAACAGTCAAAAGGTTGAATGTAGAGGAGATCACCCCACAGTGTGTGGGAGGAATTTCTGTAGGCTGAAACCAGACACACACACATCAGGTCTTTGTGCAAGTCACAGTTGAGGACATGCTGACATAGGGCATCTGCATGCTATGCCTCAGGCTGTCAGAACACACACAACTAGAATTGAGTTGCCGTTTTCTCGAACTTGCATTGAATATGACACTTTAGACGGATGACAATGGCTGAGTAGACACAACTTGCATGTTATTGCATTTTACTGTGTTTCAAACCTGTCCAGGTAACACTGCAGTCATCAAAGCCGAATACAGTGTTGAATTTTTGGTTGTAATGGTGCCATTTTGCCTGTGCAAACAACAAAATTGAGTTTGTATAGATCATACTGTCAGGCTTGAGGCACATCCCATGTAACTGCAACATCTCGACATGTACTGAAGTGAAATAAAGCGACAATAAATACAAAATAAATACACAATATGCAGATCAACTGGCTATGAAATGTAGCAAACAGATTAAAAAGATGTTCAGGCTCATCAAAAGTCATGTGACACATGTTTAAATACCTTTTTTTCCCTCTCTCTTTAACAGTTGGAAATGGAAGATGAAGATACAATTGACGTGTTTCAACAACAGACGGGAGGCCTGATTTAACCAGCCACACTCATTACCATTCTCCTCTTTTAACACAACCAACCTTCCCAGCCTGTGATACACAGCGGCTGCTTCTTCGCAACTTGTCCTAATTGTCTCAACAGAAATTCATGCAGAAGAAGTTATTTCTCTGCTACACATGACTGCTGTATAGTATTTTCATTCTTGCCCTTGTTACTTCTGTTTTTTTGTACATAAAACCACAACCAGATCACCCTGAATTTGGGATTTGTTTGTTCACGCTATATTGTGGTGACTGTTAAGGACTTCCCAATTTGAAGGGCTTCTTCTAAGGTTGCAGACAGACAGGACTGGCGTTAGGGTGAGAATTACTACAACTGACTTTACAGATCAAATGTCGTTGGGCTAGGCTTGGTCGGTGTCCAGCAAATCTGTTCTTATAGTGTACTATTTTGGGACTGGCTGCCACTGAGTGAACTGTATACCCTGATTGGGAATGGGGCTGGATTGTTGCTTGTTTTCTGTCATCATCAGAAAAAAATATTTGATTTTATACATTTTTATATAGTAGTGAATGTGTAGAGAAATGTTTTGATTATCGTTTGACTAGGCCAAGCTTCAAATTTTGGGAAAACTAAGAGATGTTTCAGTTACATAAACAACTGTATTGTCTATTAAGATGCCTGATAAAATAAAGCTATTGTCTTTTTCCAAACTTCCACTAATTTTGTCTGCTTTTCCAGTGTGATTGTTTGACCCTCTTGTGGGCAGAAAATACAACCAATATATTATACGTTAGTCTAACTATGACAGGACATGTTCAGATAGTATTTTTTTAAGCCTGAAGGTTAGTCCGAAGATCTTCACCAGCTGGAGCTCAAAGCTTACCCACGTTTTTCTTTTCCCCTTTGCACTGTGCTTTAAAACATTTTTGCCAATTGTCATGATCAATGCTAATACATTAGACAGCAGAGGGGAGGAAAAAAGCCCTCAGGGATGTGGACTGTCTGAAGCAGAGAGACCTGCCACCAACAAGAGAGGCGAGCTCTGAGGTTCTGTCCAATAGGAGAGGAGTTCTGTCAGGTTCTGTCCAATGAGAGAGGAGTTCTGTGAACGTTCTGTCCAATCAGAGCGGGCCGAACGCCGGTGGGCTGGGTCTAGTGGGCTGGCACCGCAGAACCAAGGGCTCTGGTCTTGGTTATGTTGTTCAGTGTCGGGTGGAGTCTACATCCTGTCGCATCTCTGCTGGGAAGGCGGAGGAGTTTGTTTTTTTTTTTTTTTACTGTACTAGTTTCTCATTGACTATTTGACACAGCCCGAGACACCGAGATACTCCATAAAAAATGACGACGACCACCACCTTTCAAGGAATGAGCCCCGGTTCTAAGAGCAGTTCCAGGTAAAAAAAAACAAAAAAAACAACAAGAAGCCGAAAACCTTTTTTTTTTTTCCATGGAGGAACAAAAGAAGTGTGATGCGGGCGAGCCTCTGGGTAGCTGAACGCCTCTTTACTGCTTCAAAAGGGCAGCCTGGCTACCTTTATAGCCCGCTGCTGGCATGGCGAGGGAGTTTTCTGGATTTAGCTAAACTGTCACATCGTCTTGCTAATTAAGTTAATCTTATTGGGTGACTGATGCGACGTGTAGCCTTTAGCTGCGCTGAGGTAGTTGGGTTAGCCTGCCTTGAGTGTTATAATTAGGCGAGTTTGAGAGAGAAAAGTGAGAGAGCTGAAGGGTTTTAAACCGTGTGTTGTTGGGAGAAATGGTCAAAAGCTACTTCGTGTTAGCCCTCCTCTGGCTTTGTGCGACTACAGAATAACTTTATGGTGCAGTTCAAGTCCGAGCTCCCATCTTGCGGCGATCTCTTGAATGTGCTGCTCTTTTCTTTTTTTTTTCTTTTTTTTTTTTCAGAGGAATAATGTTGCACCTACAAGTTAATGTCTGAGCATTTAGTAGCAGTTTTTTTCCAAGACAGGAGCCAAAGATAAAGCTCAGGAGCAAGAGTCCAAATACGTTTGATTGATTGCAGGAAGAATCCCAGACGAGACTTTGGTCTGCTTATGTCATTATCAGTGATATGGCTCATTGTTTGGTTATTGCTAATAAGTTTTAGAGAAAACCATGTCCATAATGTGGCGATAAATATATATACATGTAAGATATTGTCTACGTATGCTCAGTATATTTAATATTCACACAGTAACATCTTAAGAGGGCCACTCATCCTCCAAGCACGCAGTCATAGCTTTCCAGTAAGTGATGCGTCTCGTCTGGATGGATTCCTGCCCCCCCTTTGCAGTGAAAACAGTGCAAAGAAATTACTTTTAAATGAGGGCTGGCTTCGTAATATTGCATTGATTTTTTTTTTTTTTTTAGGGCCTGTGAAGCAGATATTTTTTTTTTTTTTTTTTTAGGAAGAGTAGTGCTGCTATTCTCAAGGATCACGTCAAATCTCGGTCGGTCGTTAAGCGTTTTGAAGTCGCATGCTGTTTTCGGGTGATGCGGAGGCTTGGGTGGGGGCTTTGAGCTAGCTAAGCCTGTAAATCTTCCCTTAGCTCTTTTGCTTTTGCTCCTTAAAGCCCCCCCCTTTTTTTTGCGAGCTGCTGGTCATTTCTGCTGCTGGTCGACTAAAAAAGGAAAAAGGGATCCGTACAGCAGCGAGTTGAGCAGAATCAGGTTTAAAATCTTAGTAGGCCATCAAAAGCCTCCTGCCCTGCCTTATCAGACATGCCATCTTGTGGGCTTTGGAGCTCAGCTATATCTGCCCTAGCTCCACCTGCCCGAAGCAGCCCGCCAGCTTCTAACTATTGATGCCATTTTTCTTGGTATTATTTGCAGTTTCATTCTAGGGTGGGGTCTGCTGCCAGGCAGCTAAAAAGCTTTCCCCCCGTCGCAATCCGTGTGGAAAGCATGAGCTCATCCCCTCTGGCCGGGAGGTGAAGTCTGGTTTAGGCATTACTGTCACAGCCTGGTGTGACGGACCCTCGCACATCTACAGGAATCGATTGAGAAAAGGCCTGTGGGTGCAGTAGTCCACGCTGTGTGGATCGTCCTCCCTTTTTAGTTGCCCTCTTTGTAGTTTTGCTTGGAGAGCGGAGTCGTTTTTTGGACTCCATCTGCCCGCCTGGCCCTTGGACAGCTGCTCAGTGTGTCAGCTGGTGGCTTCAGGGACTCTGAGGAGAGGAGAGTTTGCTGGAAAAAAAGAGGGAGGGGTCCAGCAGTGGCTCTGCAAACACATCAGTTTTTGTCATCCTCCCCGACTGTCCTTCAGCACAGCAAGGAAAAAGGGTCTCCCTGCTCATTACGGCGTTCCTTTTGTTCAGCGTGTGGTGGAAGGAATGTCTGTTTAAAGTGGGCTTTGTGTATCATGCATCGGTCCGTATACAGGCTTCCTATGTCAGTCTACAATAATCTATTTATTAGGTGACCTATATTAGCTGCAGACCTCCGACTCTTCGCCTCAGTTGTGTATTATTGACCCGAAAAGGTGCACGGAATTAGATTTTCTTATTTGATAATGGAATAACAGTGCTAGCAGGAACGCACACCGACCCATCGTGTGTCACTGCAAAAGAATCCGTGCTGAGAGGAGGCAGCAGCTCGTCGGCTAACTGTGTGATTATATGCGACCGGAGTCAGCTGCCGGGCAGAGATTGTGACTGTCTGTCTGACGGGCTGACAGCCGGGGCTTAGAGAGCGGAGACCTTGCTGGTAGCTTGTGTGTTTCTGTGTGTGTGTGGTATGTGTATAAAAGGGGTAGGGTGGAGTAGGGAGAAGGCTGTAAGTAGCTCGAGGCATCCTCATGTTATATTTGACTATTGATTTTGTGTGTTTGTTTTGTTTTTTTGCACTGTGCAGCTGATCAGTGGCATGTGACACAAAGGCCGTGTGTTTTAGTTTGGCCTAAAGAGTGGGCGAAGGGAGCATGGAAGCAATCAAATGACACTGTAACCCGTCGCTCTTTGCTCTTCAGGGTACTACGACCGCCAGGAGGGGAATCCAGCTTCTCCCTCGGCACAGACGACAACACAACCCCCCAGCGCAAGAGCAAGATGGCCTCCAGCATCTTTGCGGAACCTGAGGACCCGCATGCTCATCGGAGGAACAATCCACCCAGTAAACCAATCTAACATCATTAAAAGCTGTTTTAGTTCATTTTCCATGAATGAAAACAGTTTGAAAAAGTAACATTTAACAGTGATTTGAGTTTTGCACCAGGCAGGCCGTATAAGCGCTTATGAAACTAGATAACTATCAAAATCCTTAAGTAAGCAGAAAGCAAGATGGAATTAATTCTTCTAACTTGAGCTCGGAAAAGATACAAACTGGAGTGTTGTTTAGTATTTTTCCATTTAGGTTGTCAAAAAGAACATCCCACAAGTGCAATAGCCAGAAAGCCCCGGAGTACTGGGATAAGGGTAATTTGAAGCTAGGCTTTGTTAAATGGGATCGGCCCTCAATGGAAAGAAATAGGTCAGTAAAAAAAAATGTGTCAGTTGGTGAAATGTGTGGCCTTGTATAGACACGAGGGAAGTTTTATTTTGAGTACACGAGGAGAGGCAGACCAATGCAGCAGAGAGGGGAAACCTGTAAGTGGCTTTTGAGTTGTCAAGGTCACTGCAAACATACAGCCGCAGAGGCTCGAATCAAACATTCATGTAGTGTGACAGTACCGGGCCTGCCAGCATGTTTATTCTAATCTAGTTGAAGCTTTTAGTCTTCAGAATGCATTATCTTTATTGCGTGTCATTAAGGATGGCCGTTTTACCCAGGTAGGCAGTGTTTGGTTAAAAAGATTTGATAAAGTGCGTAAAGAGGAAAAAGTCGAGCCCTACAGCAGGAGGAGTTCATTTCAGCTCAGGGCCGTGAAGCTCACAAGCCAGAGATCACATGTTTTCACACTGGCCACTTTGTCAAACTGTTTACATGGTGTATCAAATTTTCTGGGTGTGTGGACAATGAAGAATTTACCCTAAAATGATTACTTCATCCTCTACCCTCTACAGCCCGCAGCTGCGGACAGTAAAAGCCCTTTCCTGCTCGCATTGTTTCACTTGGGTCTAGGTCAAGTTCAGGAGAGCCTTCTCATAGTTGTCCCATTTTCAACGGATACAACTGGATGAGGATATTTGTTTCTGCCTGAATGTGCAAAGTGTATTACTCTAACAGGTTTTATAAGCATTGTGCAATCTGATTGACCCGAGCATGAACTCCTAGTTTAGATGACCATGTTTGTTTGCTTTGGCATGACGTCCTGTGCAGATCCTTTTTAAACACATCTTTGTATATGCTCAATACAATACGCTTTGATGTGAATACTGTCCTGCAGTATGTAACTATGCTTCACCGTTGGTATAACTGTTAGCCTTGTTATAGTGAGATATTCTCTTACACTAACAGAGCGTGGAAGATCCATCTTTAAGGTTAAGTAGTATGCGTCTTAGACCACTGTGCCACCAGGAAGGCCTGATTTTCATGATCGTCAAATGTCTCCAATTCACAATATCTATCCTGTCTTATCCTCAGACAATGTCACGATAATGTCCTGTTTACTCTGGATAATCCGTGGACCTTACTGTAAACAATTTCCATATCAACAATATTAATTCTATCCAAAGTATTTCCAATGATAACTGGTTGCAGCGAGATCTGCATTATCCAGAGTGACCGGTTCTGGACAGACATGATACTCAGTTTGTATCATCTTTTAATGCTTTAATCA